TGGCCGGTGGGCAGGGGACCCCCACAGCTCTGGGCAGGTGTTGGAGCTCTGGGCAGGTTTTCGGGGTGATGGAGTGATGTGGTAGATCTCCCTGACTTGATGCTCCTATAACCAGTCAGGGTTGAGTGTAGCCTGGATTGGGCTTCAGGCCAGCTTCATCTAGGCCAGTGACTTTCAACCGTGTGCCAGAAGAATCTTAAAAACGTGCAATGCCTGACTAGTTAGTCAGAGGCACTGAGCTCTTTTCCCTTAGGTTGTCAAGAAATGACAACAGCCAACACAACAATAGCCGTCCAGTGTGAATGAATCAAAATTATACCTATTTTTTGTCAGATCAGCAAAAACTAGAATATATATATATATATTTTTTGATGTAGTGCAGAATTTTAGTAATTACTTTATGTGTACCATTAAATGAAAAAGGTTGACATTGCTGTTCTACTTCTCAGACAAAAAAATAATAATAATAAAGTCCATTACCACCAAGCCAGCATTTCAAGGAATGTTAGAGGGCCTACTTTAATAAGAAATAAAGGTATAAAGAATAAAATGGTAATAAATAAGTTATCCTATATAATAAAATTGTCCCTTGGAAGTTTAACTGACCGGGAGTTCGACTACTTGCTATGATGTGTGCTGACCACTAGGTGGTGGCGCAGAATGAAGGAAGACCCCGGCCAGCAGACAGGGGAAGAAAGGCCCCAATCAGCCCTGATTTCTGGCCAGGCTTTGGTACCCTACCCATGCACGAATTTCGTGCACCAGGCCTCTAGTCAATAATAACCTTAAATGTAATTGGATTAAATGCTCCAATCAAAAGACATGAATGGGTAAGAAAACATGACCATACATATGCTGTCTACAAGAGACCCATATCAGAACTAAACATGTACACAGATGAAAGTGAAGTGATGGGGGGAAAATTCCATGCACATGAAAATGGGGGGCAGGGGGGGAACAATAAGGTAAGGTAGCAATACTTATATCAGGCAAAATATACCATACTGTTTGTGTCTACATGTTACGTATATGGCTTTTTGCTTAATCCCTTCACCTTCTTTCATCTAGTCCCTCAATCTCCCTCCCCTCTGATAGCTGTCAGTCTGTTCCATGCATCCATGCCTCTGTTTCTATTTTGTTTGTCAGTTTATTTCATTCATTAGATTCCACACATAAGCCAGGGCAGAACCTAAAGCCAGACTTCACCTCACGCTTCATGACCTGAGCAGCCTGCTTTACGGGTCTCATTGCCACACAGTTTCCTGTGGGCAAAACATGCTCAGAGCTTTCAACAACAACAAAGAAACCCTAAACCACTTTTGGCTTAAAACACTAAACAAATCTCTGTAGATTTAGGAAATACATGTGGACTCCAGGAACTCCACGTCTCTCCCAAGATCATGAAACCAGATTGAAACTGAGTTTGCACCAAAATCCATTCTCTTGACTCCCCGCTCCTGATTCGCTTTGGGATCCCAAATGAGCTTTAGTTGAGGAAATTTAGTTGTGGGGAGTTGGCCTGGGCCCACAGGCATTGCCCTTCTCTACCAATGGATTTCACTACAGGAAAGGCATAAAAATCTTGTCTTATCTATGGAAAAGTGCTGGCTAAATTACTTAAGCTTGGTCATTCAACAAACATTTATCCACCACCTGACCTACTATGTATGTGCTAGGCAAATTCCAGAGATACAGCGGCTCTTACTAAACTCCACGGTGCTTGTGGGGTTTATTAAGGAATTTTACACGTGAGGGAGACACGTCTTGGACAGTGGCGAGATGATGTGGACGTCAGCGCAACGTGGCAGGTGCCAAGGGGTAGAGACAGGGCAGGATGCAAAAGGGCACTGGGGTGTGGCCTGCCCCAGATAAGGGGAAGGTGACTTGCAAACTTGCCTGAGGAGGGGTGACAGCCTGGGCCAGGAACCAGCATGCCGGGGGAGCAGAAGAGTGTCCGCCCGACAGCCTGGGGGTTCAGGAAGCAGTCTCTTCTGGCCTCATCCCAGGCAGCAGTCCCATCATGGAAGAGTCTCTTCTGCACACTGACCTTGATCCGATTCTTCTTAAAGTGGGCAAGTCAGTCAATCACGTCACATTTTAGGAGGGAGAGACTTTTACCTTCAAGGTTGTTTCAGCTGGTCTAATAATTAAATTATGGGACAGATTAACAAGAGGAACTAATCAAATTTAACTCACATACATACACATGGGAACCCCACCTACAGGAGAGAGTCAGCGACCCCACATACATGAACGGTTCACAGACACCAAGGAAACATGGGGAGACAGGACATTCTGAGTTAAGGATGACGTAAGGCGCCTGTGGGGGCGAAGGTCATTCTCCGGGCGACAGGAGAGTTCTGAGGAAATGACATTTGGACTAAGATCATCAAGGTGGCCAAGAGTTAGCTTGATACTGATTATCTTTCATCTTATTGAGCAATTACATACGTCAGCTTCGCTTGTTGCATTAACTTCTTTAATCCTCCCAACATCCCTGTAAGGCAGGTATTGTTTTTTCTTCATTTTACAGATGAATAAACCGAAGTAAAAGGATGTAATTCTCCTGGAGGTCTCTCGCTCCAGGTCTCAGTCCCTATTGGAAGGCTGTGGAGGTGGGTGTGGTCTAGGAGTGAAAGGACAGACAGCTGATGGGCAAGGCGGTTGGTCTAGAACAGCGGGTCGGCAGACTCATTCATCAACAGAGCCAAATATCAACAGTACAACGACTGAAATTTCTTTTGAGAGCCAAATTTTTTTAAACTTAAACTTCTTCTAACGCCACTTCCTCAAAATAGACTCGCCCAGGCCGTCGTATTTTATGGAAGAGCCACACTCAAGGGGCCAAAGAGCCGCATGTGGCTCTCGAGCCACAGTTTGCCGACCACTGGTCTAGAATGTAGATGAAGCTGGTAAAGAGAGAAGGAGCCACATCGTGTAGGTACAACAGTTTATGATATTCACGCCAAAAGTTGCATTGCTTTGCCGGGGGCCAGTAGGAAATATTGTAAACCAGGGAGCACCTGATGGAACTGTGTCTCAGAAAGGTCGCTCAGGCTGCTGTGGCCAGGCATCAGACAGAGGTGACCTTGCCTGAGGAGATGTAGAGAAGCAGACAGATAAAACAGAGTCTGCTGAAAGTTCACACTTCCAAATAATTTTTAAAAAAGACTGAAGTCCCTTAGAAACAATGATGTGAAATACGCTCATTGCCAATTATTTTTATCCAGTCCTTTATAGCAGTTTGGAAGTTCTTAAACCAATTTTTATATATATATATATATATATATATATATATATATATATATATATATATGAAAAACCATAGTATGTAAATGATGTGCTGTGGAATTGTGCACCCAAAAAAAAACTCTGTATGGTTTTGTTAACCAGAGTCACCCCAACAAATTCAATAAAAAGGAAAAAAGGACATAATATGGATGGCATTAAAATATTCTATAATTTGCCCTGGCTAGTGTGACTCAGTTGGTTGTAGTGCTGTCCTTTACACCAAAAGGTTGAGGGTTCAATTCCTGGTCAGGACACATATCTGGATTGCGAGTTCTATTTCCAGTTGGGGCAATTACTGGAAGACAACTGATCTCTTTTCTCTCTCTCTCTCTCTCTCTCTCTCTCTCTCTCTCTCTCTCTCTCTCTCTCTCTCCCCTTCTCCTCTCTCTAAAATCAATAAGCATGTTCTTGGATGAGGATTTTTTAAAAAAACACCTATAGCCCTATTCGGTTTGGCTCAGCAGATAGAGCATTGGGCTGTGGGCTGAAGAGTCCCAGCTTGTGGTCTCAATCCCCAGTGTGGGGCGTGCAGGGGGCAGCCAATCAATGATTCTCTCTCATCAATGATGTTTCTCTCTCTCTTCCTCTCTCTGAAATCAATAAAAATATTTCTTGAAACCACCTATAATTCATTCAGCCAATTGGAAACCATGTGAATGACCTGGCACCGGGGTCACCATGACCCACCTTCTCAGCCCTCCGGGCCTTGGAACCATCAGGGTCCTGAGGGGCTGCTGTGGCCAGGGCTCCAGGGTGGGGCGCTCCTGTTAGGGCCTCCCATGGTGCACCCACTCTGGGCTGGGAATGCCCCAGTGACCAGCTCTAACTGCCAGCCCACTACTTCCGCTCCTCCAAGTCGGACTCCCAGGTTATTTTTTTTTTTTTTTTTTTTTTTTGCCCGGAGCAGAGTTCTGGTCAATAACTTCTGCCAAGTGAGGAGCTGGCTTTCTACAGACAGACGTGTGGAGAGGATATTTTGGGTATGAACGTCTTTGGCAGAAAATAGAATGGTGTGGGAAATGGGGAGTCCGGGTTGTTTTCTCTGTGGTTTTCAGGAGGGGGAAGATGGGGTGGAGGGGAAAGTTCTGCCTGGAGGCAGGGATTCAGCACAGAGGAAGTGGCCTCCCAGTTCCTGATTAAGTCCAGGTAAGACACCGAGGACACGTGTCTTCTTCTAAGAAAAGGAACATCCTGGGCTTTCGGAGGTGGAGAATGCTCCCTGCCGGACGGGAGCTGGGGTTTGTAGCTCAGGTTTCTAACGTTAACATTCTGTTCCAGTTCAGCTGTGTCTGTGGAAGCCAGAAACATACAGGTAAACCCTTCTCTTGGGTTTCCAGGAAACTGCCAGGCGTCCTTTCCATTTAGTGCCGTTTCCTCCTGGACGTGTGTTTTGCGCCACCGTGTGGGGATATTGGGAACTGCGCCTCCCCAAGCTGCTCAGGGCTCAGAGAACCACCTCCTGTAACCCTCCCCAGCTGAGAAGGGAGGGGCCTGCCATAGCAGGTTCCAGGCTTGCCCAAAGGAGGACCAGCACAGAGCAGAATGTTCATCTTCCCCGCTACTGTGCTCTGCTCCAGGTCACCCACAACTGCCGGAGCCCATCAAACTACACGGCGGGCCGAGAGGGGACAAGGCCTGCACGGCTCACCTCAGGTGCTTTCGTCAGAATAAAGTGCTAAGACCTTCTTCTTTTTCTTTTTTCTTTTTTCCCAAAGGGGGCAGGAAAATGGGAAACGACGGTTGGCAGCAGCCCTTCCTGCTTGCGAAGTGCCGGCCTTTGCAGCACTTCTCTGAGGGTGCTGAGCTGAGAGGTGGGGGGTGAGGGGTGCCCTTCGCACAGGAGCAGAGCAGGGATGGGGTTTCCATCACACTCACTGCAGCTCCAGAAACAGCACAGGGCCTGAGGGGCCGCCAGGGCTTGCACCCAGCTCAGTGAGGGGCCTGTGGCAGCCAGCTCTTGTCGGCCGAAGGAGAACAGAGCAGCGTGGGCTGTGCTGGGCGTGGAGAGAACAGCGTCTCAGTGCCTCACAGCCTGCTTTCCAGTGTGCCCTTCACCTACCAGCCTGTGACCTTGGCCACTAGCCTGTGACCTTGGCCACGAGCCTGTGACCTTGGCCACGAGCCTGTGGCCATTGGCCTGCTGGTCTGTAAATGGGGATAACCATGGGGCCTACCTCATGAGATGCTTGGAGGATTACATGAGATACAGCCCCTGTGTGGCTCTTGGCTGCCTCCCAGGACTGGCCTGTGAGAGTAAGCAATGCCGGCTGACGTTCCCTGCACCCCTCACGTCTGGTGCGAAGGAGGGGGGTGATAGGAACAGTGGCAGGTCAAGGGCATCTGTTCCATCAGAACAGCCCAAAGGAGGTCGTTGTCTCTGAGGAGGGAGATGGAACTGCAGTGCCGGGAGGAGGGGTGAGGTTACAGAAGTAACAGGTGCCTGGGGATGCGAGCCTCCCTGTGCCAGGCTCCCCGCCCCCACGCAGGCTCATGCCCAGGAGGCACAGTGGGGGGATCAGTGGCCCCCCACGGCTCTCCCAGGGCCCCCTTTGAGACGGAAAGCCGCAGAACCGCCCTGTGAGGTCTGGCGAGTGGACAGGGAGGGTGCGTGCTGGTCAGCCAGAGGATGAACGTGGCTCTTCCCAAAGGCACCGGAGGGGACCCAGGATGTAGCAGCAAAACCTGAAGACAGCCCTTGGTCATTTCTGTTCACGTTCATTCACGATCCTGAGGTCTGGAGTGTGTGTCTGGCGTGTGTGCACGTGTGTGCGCGCGTGTGTGCGCGTGTGTGCGTGCATGTGTGTGTGTGTGTGTGTGTGTGTGTGTGTGTGTGTCTGTGTCTAGAGGCTGCCATCGCCTCACAAGAGAGGACGTTTGCATTTATTACCTGCCGTGTGCCAGCACCGGGCCAGGGCGGTCAGACACTGAGTCCGCGCCGAGCCCTGTGAGGCAGGACTCTGTCCCCGTTTTCGGGCGTGGAAACTCCAGCGCCGTGGGGAGCAGTGGCTGGTGAGAACAGAACAGGAGGGAGGGAGGGTCCTCTCGGCGGCGCATCGCATCTTGTCGTCCCGGCCTCGGGAAGAGCTCAGCGAGTGCCCGCCGCGGAGGACGGAAGGTCTGTGTGGCGGGGGCGCGGGGACCAGGGCAGGTGCCCGCGGGCTCTGAGGGGCCGCAGCGGCGGGCCAGGCAGCGGCTCAGGATTCACTGTCCTCCGCGGGGCCTGCGGGCCGGCAGCCAGCCCTGCACGAGGGCGGCCTTACCAGCTCTGGCCCCTCTGTTCCAGGCACCCCCCCTTCCAAAGAGGTGCCGGCGGGGAACTACCCCTTCATCGTCACCTCCGACGACGGCCGGGCGGTCCCCGTGGTCCAGGCCTACGCTTTCGGCAAATACTTGGGCTACCTGAAGGTTGAGTTTGATGACAAAGGAAACGTCGTCACGTCCCATGGAAACCCCATTCTTCTCAACAGCAGCATTCCTGAAGGTACGCGACACCCAGATCGGGTGGCCGGATTTCCCCTCCCCTTTCTTGTTAATGTGTCAGGACAAGACTGAAATACTTTTGTAGAGCTGGGCTTCTCCTAAATGTATCACTTATGTGGATAAAGAGACTTAAAACATGCCCCAATGCCACAGATCCCCGTTTGCTTTTTATTTATTTTATTTTTTTATTGACTTTTCACAGAGAGGAAGGTAGAGGGACAGAGAGTCAGAAATATGATCAGCTGCCTCCTGCACACCCCCTACTGGGAGTTTCCACACCCGAAAACGGGGACAGAGTCCTGCTTCACATGCCCTTGACCGGAATCAAACCTGGGACCCTACAGTCCTCAGACCGACGCTCTATCCACCGAGCCAAACCGGTTTCGGCCCCATTTGCCTTTTTTGAGTCCTTTTAGCATCAGACACTGTCCTGCTGCCTCTTGGGCATTTCAAACGTGGCCCTGGTGTGGGAAAGCCGCTCTCGGCACACGCCCAGAGGACAGCTGACGAGGGAAGCAAAGGGGTTCAGACCCGGCAGAGCAGGGCTCCAGCCCTGCCCCTGCCCCCCTCCCCCGTGTGTGTCTCCCTCCCCCCTCCCCACCCCCGCAGTAGTGTGCCTGGGCAAGTTGCCCAGCTCAGGGGCGTCAGCTGCATTACTTACCAAATGAAGGGCTGTCTTTCTTCCTCTTTGGCCTGGGACTCAGCATTAAAATACATTTTATGTCATCCATTTTCTTTTTTGTTTTCTTTTATTAATATATTTTATTGATTTTTTTTTTTTTTTACAGAGAGGAAGAGAGAGGGATAGAGAGTTAGAAACATCGATGAGAGAGAATCATCTATCAGCTGCCTCTTGCACACCCCCTACTGGGGATGTGCCCGCAACCAAGGTACATGCCCTTGGCCGGAATTGAACCCGGGACCTTTCAGTCTGCAGGCTGACGCTCTATCTACTGAGCCAAACCGGTTTCGGCTGTGTCATCCGTTTCCATCCAGTACACATAGACACACTCCTACACCTCTCACCTGCCATCTGCTGCTCAGCCTGATCAGCTCAAGGAAGGGACTGTGAGGGGCCACAGTGCCCACCACCCCCCCCCCCTCCAGCCACACAGACCTCCCAGCAGCCAGGGGAGGGGCCGGCCACGCAGACGGCCGCACCTCAGCAGCCTGTGTGCCTGGCCCTGGGCCTGCAGCGCCCACCAGGCCAGCAGTGCCAGCACGGGGGCCAGCAGGGACCCCGAGGGATGCACTGGTGTCTGGATGCTCCGCCCGTCGTCAAATAAAGGTCCATTCCAGGTCTGCGTACCGGGAAACAGGACGGAGGCTCCTGAGGAGACGGCACAGCCTAAGCAAAATGCCCATCAGCATGGGGAAGCGGAATGCGTTTGGTTCCTTCCTCACCAGGAGGCCAGTGTGAGCCCGGCTTTCACGACAGACTGATTTTTGTGTGTGTGTGTGTGTGTGTGATTTGTTTGTTTTTTCTTCCAGATCCGAAAATAAAAGCAGACATTAACAGATGGCGGGTAAAACTAGACAATTACTCTTCCCAGGAGTTGGGGGAAACCGTCGTCTACCTGAACGGCTCCAACGAGGCATGTCGCTTTGAGGAGTGCAACATGGGCAACCTGATCTGCGATGCCATGGTGAGGGCCAGCAGGGGCGCGGGCCCAGGCCCGGGAGGGGAGGAGGAGGAGGGGAGGGGGACAGCCCGGTGGTTATATTATAGAATGGAGCATCTAAAACAAAATCAGGGCCCAGACCAAAGCCGGGCGGGATTCACGCTGAGCACCTTGGGAAGGGGTGCGAGCGAGACCAGCTGACCATCGCAAGGACTGAAGCCTTTATGTAAGGTGTTCGTTTTGGGACGTCTGAACTTTGAGTGTTGCTTTTGTGGTAAGATGACTGGAATACGCAAACTCTGCTGCTCTGAGGAGGTAGACACAGTAGACAAAACACATCTGCTCAGGCCTACCTTGGAGACTGCCTTTCCCGGGTCTGACCTCTGGCTGCCCCCGGAACCTCCTTCCCAAGCAGACGGTGACAGCACACACTCACACTGACAAAAACCGCTCCTGTGGCTGAGCACCATGGCCCGTGGCGGGCACCCCTCTGCCCGCCCGCCCGCCCGCCCGCCCCCCTCGGTCTCACCCCCCTTCCTCCCGTCAGATGCAAAGCCCACACCCACGGGCCCTCTCAGTCTGTGCTCTGTACGTGCTCAGGACACAGCCAGGCCCAGTAAATGTCTGCCACGTCGCTGGCAGTGTTCTCGCTCTCCACGGTAAAACCAAGGCTGCCAGGAAGCAGCTGGAGAGACGCCGGTACCTGAGCTGCTTAGAGGAAGGTCCCGAAGGGAATGCCCCAGCCGTGAGCAGTGCTCACCTCTCCGCCAAGAGACTGGGGCCAGGGTGAGAAAACTCTCCGTGCTGCACTATTCCCCCCCCCCCCCCCGAAAATGAGAATATATTCACTTTATTTCTGGTCACTAAACATATATTTTGTAAAAAGGAAAGTAAGAATGCAACTGATTCTCCCCCGTTTCAGGAGGCTGTCCTTGGGCCTTCAAAATAGTTGCTTGGGCCCTGACCAGTTTGGCTCAGTGGGTAGAGCATCAGCCTGAGGACTGGAGGATCCCAGGTTCGATTCCGGTCAAGGGCACGTACCTTGGTTGCGCGCACATCCCCAGTAGAAGGTGTGCAGGAGGCAGCTGATCGGTGTTTCTCTCTCATCGATGTTTCTAACTCTCTATCCCTCTCCCTTCCTCTCTGTAAAAAAAAATCAATAAAATATATTCTTTTAAAAAAAAAAAATAGCTGCTTGGGAATTGGCAGGGGACCTGGATGTGGAGGCCAGGGTCCGTGTGGGCCTGAGGCCTGCAGCCGAAGGCCAGGGTTCATGCGGGGCAGCCCCGGAGGCCAGTCTGCACGGAGCCCGTCCGGCCCAGAGCCGTTCGCTCAGGCCCATGAAGAGCACGGGGATGAGGAGGGGCTCGGAGCTGGAGACGGGTCACCATGCCTTACTTTTGCTTCTCATTCTGATGACGCTTGAGAGCTCCCGGGAACACAGGAGCGGGGAGAAGCAGCTTCCTTTCCTCAGGCGAGCCAGCCACACTCCGGGACCGGATCCCCAGGAGGAAGGCCCAGAGTAACTCACCCAAACTCTGCTCCCGTTGCAGATCGACAACAACATCAGGCACTTGGATAAAACGTCCTGGAACCACGTGTCCATGTGCATTTTAAACGGCGGCGGCATCCGGTCTCCCATCAGTGAGGAGAATAACGGTATGCTCCCCAGGCTCGGCCCCGGGCTCGGGGTGGCCGCGCCCACGGGCAGCCCCAGCTGAGCTCTGCTGCTGCCTCGCACCACAGGGTCAGCTGGAGCTAACTGCTACTCAGTCCTGCCCTCCCAGACGCACACACACACACACACACACACACACACACACGAGTGTTCTCAGGTGTATTTGCATGTGGAGGCAGAAGACCGGGGCACGTGGACCCCACGCTTGATCTAAGCTTCCGGCTCACAAAGTTAAACGGGAATTGCCGCTGGTTCCTGCAAGATGCTGGCAGCCTCCACGCTGCCGTCTGGAAAGAGAAAGGCAGCGCCGTCTTCTGTGCTGGGAACATACCCCCGGGTGCAATCCTTTCCGTGCACTTACAGATCTCCAGGGTCATGTTCTAGGTAAAATACACCAGCCAGACAGCTGGGCAGACACCCTGGCTGCCTTGCCTGATGTGCTCTCAAGGCCAGTCCACTTTGGTGTAAGCCCCAAGCCCATCTCATTGTCTCGATCAGGGGCAGGCAAGTGAGGGCCTGAGGGAAGTGCTGTCTGTCTGCAGGACCTAAGCAATGTTTTTGTTTTTGTTTTTAATATATTTTATTGATTTTTCACAGAGAGAG